CTGGTGAGCTCTCCGGCAAAGAGAGAGAGAGAGAGAGAGAGAGAGAGAGACAATTAAGATACAGTGAGGGATCCCATATACAATCTTGGACACTAGAAGGACACTAGAAGAAAAGTTGATGAAATGTGAATAAGGTCTATAGTTTAGTTAATGATATTGTACCAATGCTAGTTTCCTAGTTTTGATCATTGTTCTATGGTTATATAAAATGTTAACATTAGGGGAAGCAGTGTGAAGGGGTTCCAGTAACTTTCTGTACTATTTTGCATCTTTTCTGTAAGTCTAAAATTAGTTCAAGATGAAAAAATAAATTCAAATTATGTTCTGAAAGCTATGTGTGAGCTTGAGGGATCTTAAGATATATAAAGGTTATAGTAGACTCCCAAAATATTTAGACGAGAAGCCATTTTCAAGCTGAGATGTGTCCTGGTGTGTTCAGGGAAGCCATGCTCTAAACCCACCTCCTAGACTCCCGAAATATTCAGACAAGGTAGGATGACCTCCGTCTTTTCTCTGTCTCTGGCTGTCTGTCTCATGCTCTCTCTCCCTTTCTGTCTGTCTCATACTCTCTCTCCCTTTAAATTTTTTAACTTTTTTTTTTTTAATTGTTCAAGCACCTCTCCTCAGCTTGGGCCTTTTCTTTCACTTTTTAATTTCAGAAGCCATTTTAAAGTTGAGTTGTGTCCTGGTGTGTTCAGAGAAGACATGCTCTAAACCCACCTCCTAGATTCCCAAAATATTCAGACAAGAAGCCATTTTAAAGCTGAGGTGTGTCCTGGTGTGTTCAGGGAAGCCATGCTCTAAACCCACCTCCTAGACTCTCAAAATATTCAGACAAGGTAGGATGACTTATGTCTTTTCTCTGTCTCCAGTGTGTTCGTGTGGTGCACTAGGGTTTTCATTTTTTACTCTTTTTTGGTAGTATTTTCCTATTTTTTTAAATTTTTTACTTATATTTTTAAATCTTACTTTCTTATTCTAAACTTCACTCTCCAGACACTTAATGTCTACATAGGCATAGGTAGTAGCCAATCATCTGAATCCTTTTAGATTCATTGAAATCCTCCATGCTTATTGAATCTCCTGCTTTAACGAAGAAATTTCTTTCTATAAATCTGAACTCCTAATCTTACTGTTTATACCACATTGCTAGCACTGTGGAGGAGAGATTTTGTCACAAAATTACCAGAAACCACCACAGAGGTACAAGAAACATGAGAAACCAAGAAAATGTCTCTCCCGCAAGGGAAAAGAACAATACCTCATCATCTACAAACAGTACAGTAGAATTCTTGGAAATGTCTGATAAAGACTTCAGAATATTGATATTGACAAAACAAAACTAGATGCAAGAGGTGAGAGATAATGAACTCCAGAAGATGCAGGAGTAAAGAGACAACGAGTTCCAGGAGGGGTTGAAGTTCTTTCATGATCCAAAAGAGGAAATACACACCATGATAAAGAATCAAATGGAGCTATTAGAGATGAAGTCTGTCCCTTCAGGAAATCAAAACATCCCTCGGGACCAGCAGTTAGTGTAATGGCTATGTCGCTGGATTCCCACGTAGTCAACCGCGGTTCGTGTCCCGGACCCGGTGGCTTAAAACTCACGCCGGGCGCGTGTGCGTGCGTGCCCGAGATCCCGAGAGGAGAATGGAGGGGAAGGGATTGCGGTGTGGCCATCCCCCCTGGGGGGTGATTTCTCACTTTCTGTCCCTCTGTCTCTCTCTGTCTGTCTGGCGAGAGCACGCGCCCTATAGCAAAAACCTCTCCTCCCACCAAAAAAAAAAAATCCCTCGAAAGTATTAAAAGCAGATTAGTCCATGCAGAAAATTGAATCTCGTATGCTGAAGGTAAAACCTCTGTTCTAGAAAAATAACCAAAAAAACTGAGAAAATAATAAAAAAAAAAGAGAATACTGTACGAGAAATACTAGACAGCATTAAGCGCCCAAACATTTGGATAACTGGTATCCCAGAAGGTGAGGAAACTAATAAAGGCACTGATAATCTATTCCATGAAATCTTGGAAGAAAATTCTTCAACTCTAAAGAGGCATTCAAATATCCAGACCCAAGAAATATAAAGGACCCCTAATAGAATCAACCCAAGAAGATCTTCTCCAAGGCACATCATAGCCAGACAGGTCAAATCTACAGATGAAGAAAAGATAATAAAATTGGCAAGAGAGAAATATCAGGTTACTTATAAAGGTTATCCCATCAGGCTAACCTCAGACCTCTCATCAG